GGGACCGCCTCGAATACATTCCAGGTGCGCCGCCAGAGAGTAACCTCGAGGAGAGACAGGCGTGGCTTGATTTGTTTTTCACTGGGAAAGAACGTTCACAGAGATTGCGGCGCAAAATTGTTGAATCCCTGTGCAATGGCAAATGGTCGTCCAGAAAAATCGAAAACGCTTCGCGTATCTCCGCAACGACACCCTAACCAACTAGCGCGGGCGCACATTGCAGGCAACCGTGGTGCGGCGTTCGCTTCCCGCGGCGCCCGCGGTCGAGTGGTTGCGCGCTGCCAATCGGAAGCGTACTGGAGCGATATTGGAGCCGTTTCGGGCAGTTGGAATGTCCGTGGGCCGTTCTGGGCACCCCCGTTGGCCTTCCTGGGGTTCTGCCGTTGGTCGGTGGGCGCTCCATGCGCGCCCTCGGGCGCGAAGACAGCGGGTTTGGGCAAATCTCGGGCCACGCTCTGGCCGTCAGGCAATCTCGGTGCCCCGAGGGCTTGTCAGAAGCGAAGGTGTGAGAAGGGCAACCGCGCGCATTTTCGCGCCAGCGTGGAGGGGCGATCGGGCGTCGATTCGCTCTAGGGCCTACCTCGCCCCCCCCCCCCCCCCCCCCCCCCCCCCCCACCCCCCCCCCCCCCCCCCCCCCCCCCCCCCCCCCCCCCCCCCCACCCCCCCCCCCCCCCCCCCCCCCCCCCCCCCCCCCCCCCCCCCCCCCCCCCCCCCCCCCCCCCCCCCCACCCACCCCCCCCACCCCCCCAACCCCCCTCGGGCCGCATCATTTGGGCTCGCCGCGTGAGTGCCATCGCGGGGCCGCTCTGAGGTCCACTCCACCCGCTTTCGCGGAGTCCTGGGCCCCAGTTAGCTCTTCTCTGAGCTTGGCAGGGTGGCGAGGAGGAGGGGGGGAGGACGAGGGCGGTGATGGTGATTATGGTGGGGAGGGGGGGGATGGGGGATGCGCGGAGGGGGGGTAAGAGGAAGACAAGACGCATGATGGGCCCAAGAGGGCTCCGCCGTGGGCCCCTGAGGCCTTCGCCCCTGCACCCCTCGCACTCGAGCTTCACCTGCTCCTTCACTCCGTTCTCCTCCTTCCCCTCCTACCCCTGCTTCTACTGCTGCTCCTCATCCTTCCCATCCTCCCCTCCTCCTCCTCTCCAACATCCTGCTCGTCCTTTTCGGCCTCCCCATCCGACCTCCACGTGGCTTCCTTTTTTTTCATGGGACGGGCGTCCTAGAGAACGCGGTACACGTCCTAAACCGCTCGGGCCCTAAGGGCTCGTGGATTCAACACTATTGCGCTGGGTGCTGCAACAGTGAGCAACATTGTAAGGAGAAGTTCGTTGTTTTTTTTCGTCAAGTGCATGGCTGGCGCAGCGCCCAATTCTTTCCCGAGGGATTCTTGGGTCGGTCACGACAAGCCACTGGATTGGATTGGCGGGTTAGCTTGCATCCACGGTATCTTTCAGGATGCCTATGTGAACTGGTGCGCCACATTCAAAGACGTTGGTGACGTCGGCGCTGGAGGCGTCGATGGAGCCCCTGCAGGCGGCGCAGCTGCGCCCCCGATGCTGTTGGATGGCGACGCGGGGCCCCATCTGGGCATGGCAGAGGCCGCGGCGGCCGCCCCCGCAGCCCATGCGCCTGCCGACGGGGGCCAGCCCGATGCCCTGCCTGAGTGGAAGGTCCAGCAGCAGGAGCTGGCCCGTCGTCGCCAGCGAGTTCGGGACTGGATATCAAGGCCCACGTTCCTTGCTGAGACCATCGTGCTTCGTCGCGTCGCAGAAGTCCACAGGGTTGCGATGCAGAGTTTGTTGTGGATGAGCGGCTCGGCATGGGACCTTCGCCAACGTGCTGAGGAGGGCCGAGCTGTGCTGGCTGGTCGGTCTGGCTTCAATCTCCGATCATATCGAGCCTTGTCGTTGGCTTCGGGCGTCCCCGATGTCCAGGTGATCGGTTTGATCAAGCAGCTGATGAACTCTGGAGGCATGTGGCGCGTGCTCCCAGCCCATTGCAGGTCTCTCTCGTTGCGCCTGAAGGTGTTCAAGCAGCTATCCAGGTCACTGTGTCTCATGCTGGAGCTTCAGGCTCATAGGTCAACATGCCCTTTCAAGCCTTTTCGTTTACTCTTAGAGCCAGGTTTGATTGATGAGATTCTCGCAGAGGAGCACATGTGGGACGATTGGTTCGCATCCTTCCACTCGCATTACACGAGCGAGGGCAGAGGTGGCGTCACGTCGACGATTGCGCTGGCTGATCTTCGGTGCACGCTCTTGCTACTCATGCACGACACTGTGCCCGTTGAGGTCGGCCACAGTCGGATTCGCAGGCAGCTGGAGGGGTCGAGCGTGCAGACTCATCGACAAGCCATCGAGGACGCCAGCGCCGCCGAGTTGCTGAGGCGGTTTCGCGCCTTCGAGCAGGCATTCCAGGACATTCGCGTGACTGGTGCGCCAGAGTCGGGCGCGGGAGGGCTCGCCGCGGCGCCAGCGGCCGCGCCCTCGGCCCACGCGGCGAGTTCGTCGCAGGCGGCCGGGTCGGCCCCGAGCAGGAAGGGGCGGAGCCACGGCGGCGGCCCTTACCGCGCATTCTTATCCCAGAGGTTTAAGAACGTGGGCGGCAAAGTCAACTGGGGCGGCAGCACTTCCGCCGATTACCGCCGTGACATGGCAGATCCAGTGAAACGGGAGGTGCTCATCGATGCTGGCAAGCGGGCGACCGAGCAAGTGCGGATGGGGGGCAAGAAGCCGTTCGGGCTTGGGAAGAGAGACATCGAGAGACAGAGCTTGAAGTCCGCCCGCGAAGCCCATGCAAAGCATGCGCTTGCCATGCACGATGCCAACCTGGGGCGCCAGGACGTCGCCCAGAGCATGTCGTTGATGCCACTTTCTGCCAGCGCCGCGTCGCCAGCAGACTCCTGGAAAGCCGTGTTGGATTTGAAGGCCGTCTGCTTCGCCCAGACGAAGATGCAGCAGGAGTTGAGGGCTGCCGAGGTGCGCTCGTTGGCAAACTATGCTCGGGATGCTGGTTTGGGATCGCGTTCCTTGCAGGTCGGAGCCGTATGTGAGCAGAAGGCCGACCACTTGCCCATGCCGAACGGCTACCCGACCTGCTACGACTACGAGTGGATGCCAGCAGGCGCCATGACGAAGAGCAAACAACTTTTGAGCATCCGCACCAGCAACGTCGTCGGGCAGACGATCCAAAACAGGTTGTTCAAAACATGGGCGAAGTTGCACAATATATGCGGTGGCCCCCGTCGACCAGAGATCATTGAGGCTGCGAGGAAGCTGGGCGACGTGAAGAAGAACCACCGTTGCAAGTTTCTGGGCTGTTGTGTGTGCGATGTGGGTGGCGCAGCTCACGTGGGCAAGGTCACTGCAAAATTCAAAGCAGCTCTTCGTTCATCCGCTACGGCCTCAGCTGGTTTCAAACAGAAGCTGTTGGACGGGGACGTCGTCGTCGCATTCATTGGCAGGGACGTCGACGCCGATGGCGGATTCACGGAGGACGTCGACGATTCGGTTATTGTTTTGTGGGCCCACGTCGGTTGGCAGTGGCAGAGGCCTTGGGAGTCTCTTTTCCATTATGTCGAGGCCCCGCGGGGCGATGCAGCTCCGATTTCGCCATGGTGTTCAAGGCCCCGCAGGGTCACGAGCTTGTTGGATGGATCTGGCACAGTGAAATTTTTCTCGAAGCTGAACCTTGATAAGCGCTGGGACGTGAGCTTTTGGGAGTTGCGGCACTCGCATGGTATGCTCGGGAGTTTCGTCCCGAACGTGGCCGATTGCGATCCCGTCATGCCCGTCAACCCCATTCATTTGTTGTGGATGCCTCGGCGCGGTCTTCCACCTGGCAAGCGGAAGAAGAGAGGCTGGAGCATTGATCTGTCGAAGTACGACGGCAGCGAGGAAGACGACTTCGACGGTGAGGACGTCGTGGCCGACGGCGTTGATGCGGCCGTCGACGATGAGCTCGATGGGGGCCACGTCGAGGGCCCAGGATTCGACATTGCTGCTGCCGACGCGGCGGGTGATCCTATCGACTTACCGCCCGAACCCGCAGCAGATCACGTTGCCGTGGGCGGCGCTGCTGTCAGTGAGGCTGGCACTGAGTCAGAGCGTGAGATGGATGTCATCTTTGGTGAAGGCGTTGGGCCGCTTGAGCCTGATGCAGCAGATGACGTCGGCCTTGGCGGCGGGGCCGCGCCGCCCCCGCCGCCGCCGCCGCCGCCCGCGGCCGCCCCAGATGACGACGACGGTGGGATATCTGATCCAGAGTACCCAGAATCAGACCCTGAAGTGAACGTTGCCAGGGCAAAGTTCGGCATCCATTCTTTAGTATAGTATAAGAAAAAGCGAACTTTTTACGCTGAGTGCGGCAGGAGGGAGTGTCACGGCAATAAGTGTAGGAAAAACCGAACTGCCAACCCTGGAGCCGAGCACTCTCCTGAAGGGAGGCCGCTGGGCTTCTTGTTAGCTTGGGCTTTGCTATGCGGTGAGACTGACGTTGCCGATCTTCACGCATGGACGAAGACGCCCACGCTGGCGCAGCGTAGGGCTGCTCGGCGAGCCCTTTTGCTGCGCAAGGGTGAGGCTGTTGCAAGCATGCTTTTGAAATACGAGCGCAAGGGGTGGCCTGGAGAGGCCATGGAACCAGCATTGGAGCCTTGAGAACACAGGTGTCAAGGACGGCATGGCCGCCCATTGCCCCGCTGCACACGGTCTCTCCGCTCTTTCATGTTCCGTCCCAACTCGCTCAGGCCGAAGCGGGGCCCCCAAAATCCAACAGCGTTTCTGAATAATGTGCGTGGCGCTGAGGTGCAGTAGAGTATACGTTATCACGTGTCGTCCTCCCTGAAGGCTTCGCCCGACCCCGCTGAAGGTTAGCAGGATGATGTATCATCCCCGCGTGTTGGCCTGCTATGTATTGTTCCTAGCACCTTCGCTAGTGATCCGCCGAGGGGTGTGTCGTGGAATGGTATACTCCAACGCAGGCTGAACCAAACTGGCCACGGACGGAGGCGGTTAAAACGACGTCGGCGACGACGGCAGTGTAGCAGAGCATGGGCAGGTGCGGGGCTGCGGGGGCTGTGCGGAGCACAAGTATGATAACGAGTTAACTAAGAGTAGGCGACCAAGATGACGGCGTTGACGAAAAGAAGAGGGGGCATGCTGATTGACGTGAGGGTTTGAGGAGTAACGGGGGGGCGGATGGTTCTGGTGGGGCGGACTGGCGCCCCCAGGGCTCGCGCCCCTCATCGTAGACGCATCGGGCTCCTGCGGCCCAAGCATCGGCGGCTCAAGCATTGGTGTGTGCTTGAGCCCGCCCCCGCCCAGCATTGGCGGTCCTAGCGGCTTCAAGAGACTCGATGTAATCACTCGTAGTCGCTCGTTGCCGCGATCTTCATCGTCAAGTGCGCTTCCGCGCGCTTCCGCTGCTGAAGTGGCGGCTCCATTCGGCGCCGATGCCCCATCGCGGCAGGGCGGCATTCCCAGCGAGGCCCGTCGGCTGACAAGCGAATCACGCGCGGGCACGTCGCCGCCGCCGACCGAAACGGACGCTGGGCGCTGGGCATTTCGCGCTGAGCGCCACGGCGTATCGGCCGAACCAGACGCGAGGCCGCGACTCAAGGGCATCGCTCGCGTTGTTGCAAGGGCGCATCCCCGAATGATATCGATGATGCACCTGTGTGTGTCGGGCGCGCCGCGGCTCGCTCGCGACGTTTGCTGGTGTGTTCATGGCGCGCTGCGCGGCGCCGCTGTGGAGCACGCGCGGGGGTTTGCGACGATATGCCCCATTCGCCATTGCCGTCCCGAGCCCGACGCGACACGCGCGCGCGTACCTCAGAGCCCCGTCGGCGCGCCTCTCGGCATAGCCGCCCGCGCGTCGCGGGAGCCATGGCCGAGCGCGGCTAGCGCCCGCGGGTGGCCGACGCGCGGCCACGCGTGTTAACGCTGTGAAGCGCCGCTTTGTTTACCGCCAGCTCGGTGTTCTCAGCAGCCGAACGCCGCGATGCCGTGTTCCTCCCACAGGAAACCGAGCTGGTTGTTGCTAGGCACGTGGCTCGGATGTTTTGGGCGGGCTGCAATCGGTTCGTGGCGCGGCAGCAGAAGGAGCGCTTGGCCCACCGCCCCGACGGCGTTGCAATGTCTACCGTGGAGCGAGTTGCGCATGCCGTACACGTAGACGGTCGCGGCGGAGATGTCTTACGATGGTGATGTCAGCAATGCCCAGTCACGGCACATTGGCTAACCGCCATTGACAGGCATTATAGCGGTTTGCTTCCCACTTGGTATAAGCCCGTTCAGTTAAAGCACGGCCGCCGCCTATAACATTAGTCTTGCGTGGCTGGGCTCAATTCAAGTTGACCGCGTTCCTTTCGATGGACAGCGAGCCGCTAACTATTTGCGGTGCATTCTAGTTCCAGGTCGGCTTGCGGCGCAACCGCCTGGCAAGGACAAAGATGAACCTCGAGACAACTCATGCGAAGCCCCACGTGCGGGACGCTGGGACGAATTATCGTTGTTTGGCCGCCGCAGTGTCGGATGGCTCGCGCGCGTAATTAACGCCCTGCGTGCGCATTGACGGGCATAGGGCAGTTCAATATTGGGACCAGGATCGGTCGAGCAGTGCGCGCCCACTGTGCGCAGCGATTGCGCGCCCACTTTAACGATTCAGTGGGGCGCGCAGCCTGCTGACACTTAAATTTCCATGCGCATTCGGTTGCGCGGCGCATGCAGCGGACCGCGCGCGCGGAGCACGTTGCTGCCAGTGCCGCGGTTTCGCCTGGTGGCCCAGAAAATCACACTGGTAGCCTTGCGCAGTTCTCATCGGTGTCGGCGCGTGGCGCGCGCGCGCGCCCGCCGCGCGGGCGCGCCGACGGCGGACCGTGCCGATCTGCTTGTCCGCATCGGCGGGGCCGTTGAGGGGGCGTCGGCCGCGGGGCGGCGCCGCGCTCGTCGTTCGCGGTTGAAGTTGATTGCGCGTTCCAACTTTGGCGTCGTTTCTTGAACTGCGTTGGGCCGATGTCCGCGGGCGCACCATGCGCGCCGCGTCTTGATGCGCGCCGCCGCGGGCGACGCAGACGACGTAGACCTTGCCCCGACGGCGCGCGTCGCTCCATCGTGATCTACCCGCGCCATTGCGGGCGATGCGGCGCGGGCCAAGCAGGGCTGTCGCAGTGGCTTACGATCTGCGAGCCGCTTGGCATCGCCGATTCAGCGTTGGTTGGCGTTGTTCGGCGCGGGCCATGGCTGGCGACTTGTCCGACGCGATGCGCTCTGCATTCGGCGGCCCGCAACGCCGCGCTTTTGTTTCTACGTCGCAGCAGCCGCGCGGCGCTGTGGCGGCGGGGCGTGTCTGGACTGCCCCGCCGCGGGCTGGCGCGATAGATGCGTCGTCGCGCGCAATTGACAGCGTCGCTTCAGCAGGTCGAGATATCGCGGCGCATTGCGCCCCGTTTGCCCGCGCCGCTACGAGGATAACGGGGGCGCATCGCTGCGCTCGCCGCGCGGGGCCCGCCGACTCGCGCAGAGAAGGGCGATGCCGCGGCCCATTCCGATGGCGCGCGCGCCCGCGCCATCGCCAGCGCGCCGCGCATCCGTTGTCGCATCCAGCGGGCGATCGCCAGCGGTTCCGCTGTTAAACGCATGATTTGCATAGTTTCCATGCAGCGCGCGACAGGGGCCGCTGGCGCTTCGTCGGCGCGTTCCGCGCCTTCGCCGCGAGAAATTTGCCCATCGGGCGCGCTTGATGCACTGCGCTGTCCGTTGCTTGCACGTCGCGCCGTCCGCGAGTTGGTTCGCAATGGGATCGCGCGCGTGCCAGCGCCATCGCCCGCGGCGCCGCGCATCCGCACCACCGCCCAACGCAGCGCTGAAGCGCGCCTCCGCCACTTGCGTTGGGGCATGGCGGCTTCGGCCTCATGCGCGTCGCATCGGGCGCGCCGCGCGCCGCGCGCGGCGCCGATCCTCGCTGGATGCGACCAGGCGGCGCGCTAGCGCGGTCGTGCTCGTGGAGGGGGGGCGCGCCCGAAAAGTCGCGCGACCGCGTAGAGTCGTCGCGGGAGGGGTTTGTCAGATGCGGTAGCGGGGTCGGTTAGCCAGCGCCCGAGAGGACGTGCAGCGGCGACGAACTCTTGAATCACAAGGGCCATGAAAAGGAGGCGGAGCTCTTCGACGTGATCAGGGGCGGCATTGGGCTGCGTAGGACTTGGCATCAACGGGTGGCGACCGCGCGGCCGCGAGCGCCGCCGCGGTCGCCCGTCGCGTGGCGACGCGGGCGGCTTGCAGCGCGCTGCGCCAGCCAGAACCGCCGACCGCGCGAAGTCATCGCGGCCCGCGCCGTCATGGCGCTCCAGGCCAAGTAACTCGGCGCGTCGAGCTGATCCGACTCTGCGATCCGCCGACGCAGCCCAAGCGCGCGGGCATACATGAGACGCGTTGGCGATTTCGGCTGAACCTACCGCACAAACATCGAGCGGGCGCTCTTTCCGCGCAGAAGCATTTGGGCAAACATCCAACAACCGTCCGAAAACGGCACAAACATTTTTCAAACATTTTTCAAACATTTTTCAAACATTTTGCCCAAAATGTTAAGAAAATGTTTCGAACATGTTTCAACATTTTTGGGTACCATTTGCGGTGCCCAAAAATGTAGCAACACCTTATCCGAAATGTAGCAACATCAAAAAATGTAGCCGCAAAGTTACGAACATGTAGCCGCAACGGTAAGGGCAAGTGTCCGCTCGGTGGTGCGTCGTACGCTCGCGAGGCTCCCCTAGCTCGGGTTTGTCAATTATCCTAGGGAGGGAATGCCTCTCACGAGTGCCCCCCGACGCGTTGGGCCGCTCGCGCTAAGTGCCCCCTACAGCGCTCCTCCGTGCTGCGGAGCGCACTTTGCATGCTTTTCTTAGTGCTCCTCGACGCGCGTGGCCGCGCGCGCTAAGTACCCCCCTACCCCCCCTCCTCCGCACTGGCGCGCTCGGCCGCGCGCGCTAAGTACCCCCTCCCCCCAGCCTTGCCGCGCGCGACAAGTGACACCATGCGCGCGCACGCTGTCCCATGGCGCGCTGGGCCGTGGACGCTTAAGTGCACCATCCAGGGCGTCGGTGCGCGCTTGCGCGCGGTCAGGACTCCCTGCGAGGGCTCCGCCCGCGCTCTAGGCTGCGCCCCGCGCGCGCATGCTGGCGCGCTGAACGGCGCGCGCCACCTATATGTTTGAAGGGGCCCTGGCGCGCGTGCCACGCGCACGCTAAGTCCCCTCCCCCCTCTTGCGCGCTGAGCCGCGCGCGCTAAGTACACCCCCGCCCCCCCCACCGCGCCGTTCCCGCACTGGGGTCCCCGACGCGCAGGACCGCTCGCGCTGCGGGCCCATAGGGTTCCCCGACGCGCTATGCCGCGCGCGTGAAGTAAACTTCTCGGCGTCGGCCGCCGCGAACGGCCGCGGATTAAGGGCCGCGCGGTGCGCTGCGCCACGCGCGGAGGACACCATATGGCATATGTGCGCTTAGGCACCACGCGCTGCCACCTCTTCTTGGGCGCCATGGCGCGCTGGGCCGTGCGCGCAAGCTCTCCCGACGCGCTGGGCTGCGCGCGCTACGCACCTCCCAGGTGTTCCCTGTGCGCGCGGCCGCGCGTGCGAAGTGCCATCCGCTGTGCGAAGCCGCGCGCGCCTGAAGTGACACCTCGCGCGCGCGGCGCCTGGGGCTTCGCGCTGGTTGCGCATCCACATGCGCTTTTGCGCTGAGCCGCGCGCGCTTTGGATTTCCTGCGCTCCCATGGCGCGCTGAACTGATCGCGCTCAGCACAGGGCCAGTGACCTCGCCCCGGCGCGCATCGCCGCGTGCGCCTAACACGCCCCCCACATGCGCGCTGGGCCGCGCGCGCTAAGTCACGCCGCGCACGTTTCCATCGCGAGCGTGGCCGCGCGCGCTAAGCCCCGCGCTTGTTTTGGCGCGATGGGCCACGCGCGCCACGATGCAGCCTTAAGGCATCCTTGCGCGCGGGCCGCGGGCGGTGCGCCGCCTCGGCCCCGCAGCTTGGGGGGCTGAGCGCCTTGAGCGCCCCTCTTCCCCCATCGTGTCCCCGACGCGCTGGGCCGCGCGCGACGGGTACGTGCATGGGGCCGCCTGACGTGCTGGGCCTCGCGGGCTCATTGCGCATCCTAAGGTGCACAGCCACGCCTGGCCGCGCGCGCGCATCCGCCTCCTCCGCGCGGGGCGTGGTGGGCTGTGCGCGAAGGAGCTTTTGAGGAATGCACGTGCTTGGGCCTCCCGCGATGAGTAGCCACCATGTGGTTATATAGTGCGCTGGACCCCGCGCGCTCAGCCCCTTCGGCAAGGTGCCGCGACGCGCTGGCGCGCGCGCTACGACCCTCCTTGGGCTCTTTGGTGCGCATGGCCGCGCGTGCGAAGTACTTTCCTGGCCAGCACCCGCGACGCTTGACCAGGCGTTCGACATGTGCCACGTCTCCATGCGGCGCGCGTGGTCGCGCGCTGTAGGTGTCCCATTTGGAAGCCATCTTGAGCAAGGCCGAGCGCTAGGTCGCCCCTGAGACCGACGGCCCGCTGGGCCGCGCGCTCTAAGTAATTCTCTCCGCCGACGCGCTGGGCCGCGCGCGCCGCGTGCCACCCTGTTCGGCGCGCTTGGCCGCTCGCGATACATCGCCATCTGAGGCCCTCACGCATGGTCTGTGTCGCGCGATAAGCGCGCACCCGCGCCCGCCGCTTCATGTGGCCCTGGGTTGCGCGCCGTTGCGGGCTCCCCTTGGGGTACCCTTGCGCTGACGCCGCGCGCGATAAACAATCGCGCTGAAGCATCCTTGCGGTTGGGCCGCGCTCGCCCGCGCGATTGCGTCGGGCGCGTTGGTTGTTTTTTTGCGATTCGCCCCGCGGGCGGTGCACCGAGCTGGCTCTCGGGCCCATCGCGGCGGCGTCCTGTCTTGATTTCGGTTTGGCGGCGGCATGCCAAGTCGGGCATCGGGCCCGCGGGTTTGATCGCTGCGCGGGCCAGCGCATCCGTGCGCCCGTTTGCCATGCAGCCCACGAGGTGTATTGGAGCTCTTTTGCGGCAATCTTGGAAGCTATCGCACACTGTAAGGAAGGGCACCGAGTAGGGCTCGCATTCGGGCCGCGGTCCGCGTGAGGGGTGTAAAGAAGAGGTCCGCCCATGCGCAGGTAACAGGATGTCTCAAGTACCAGCGGCCTGCCTCCTCCAGGCACGCGGGGAGGGTGATGTAGGGAAGGACATGCCCCTCACATTCGCCGAAGGGGAAGAAGGTTATTGAAACGAGAAGGCACCCTAAACCAGTCACGCCCGAAAGGTGGTTGGCATTGTTGCGGTTTGTTCGCTAATGGCTGGTGGGCATGGTGCTCCACGTCTTGCGTCACCTCGCGATGCGTTGTTTTTGCTCTTTCAGGAGCCCGCGGGCTCGTCGGTCAAGCAAGTGCGTCAAAACCGCGCCCAGGCGAGGTTTGCAACAAAAGCGTTCTAAAGGACGATCATGTTTTAGATTACGCCTGCATGGTGAAGTTATACGTTGCTGTTGCTTGCGTCGAATTCATAGCAGCGTTCTGGGGCCCCAAAAGACCTCGCACTCGGTTTCTCCAGTTGCCCGCGTCATCTTTCTTCAGTTTGCTGTCACCGTAGCCATTTCACGGCTCAATTTTCCATATCAGACGGTCGCCGATCAGGCTTCCATTCGTATACGAGTTGTTTTGCCCGTCGCTCGTGTCCGCGGCCTTGGGATGTCGGGCGGCGAAGGCAACGACCAGGCCTTCTTTGCATCAGAGGCGTGGAGTTCAGAGATTGAGAGGTCTCAGGGAGAAGCCGACGATGGCCAGAGCGAAGATCCATCGCAAGGGTGTTCAAGTCCGCGAGATTGCCTCAAGGATGCGTCGGCCGAGGTCACCGAGACAGGAACCGTTCTTCTTCCAGTGGTTGAAGTTCCAGCGAGGTTGCCTGACTTCCCAGACAACGCGCCACTCGACTCGGGCCCCACGCGTCTGATGGCTGTGGTGCTGCCTTTGGAGACGCCGCAGCAAGGAAGCACACCAAAGGCACCAGGTGCTGTCCCTCCGGCCTCGATGCCTGGGTCCTCAAACGACTTGCCCGACTCCGAAGTGGCTGGGGGTGATGTGGTGATTGCCGAGGTCCTCCCCAAGCGCAGGAAGACTGTGACGCAGACGCACGTCTACAAAAACCTTCATGATGTGCCTGGGTGGATGGTATCCTTCTTCAACAAAATGATGCCGCACTTCGAGTCTCAGGGTGTTTCTCGCGCCTGTGGTGGCCCGCGTACAACGCGTTTCAAAGGTGACCTTCCAGCTGTCCGACAGTTGGGATGTGCGTGAGGATTCAGATTGAGTGAGCATGAAGGTTTCTTTCGACACTGGCTCGGCACCATCGCTGGAGCCACTGCGTCGGCACGCGCCTCAGCATCTCGGCATTTTGCTCTGGATGCGCTGGAGGGTTCATGTACAGAGCAATCGGCGCAGTCGCATCGTTTTGTGGAGATGCATCGGCGATGATCGATGCCATTCGCCTGCGTCAGGTTCTGTCCTTGGTAGCTTGCAAGATGCATCGGGTACGAATCGCCAAACATCTCGCTCTGGTGCCTGATCTTTTCACGTGCGATGGCCGAAGCGCCTCGCACTGGTACGTTGGTGCTCTGGCTCTGACGGAGCGTTTGATCCGCTATGGAAAGTGAAGTCCTCTTGGCCACAGTCACTGCAGCGCTCTGGTAGCCCCCCATCCGCGGGTGATAAGGAGATTGGGGGGCGAGGCTTGGCGATCCAGATGCCGATTTCTTTCGATGAGGTTTGCTCGGAAGCTCTTCCCTCTGCCCCTCGGATGAATCAGTCGCACGTGCATGGAAACAGCGCGTGCCACGTTGTCGTGCACATATCTTTCAGAATAGATCGGCAAGCGCAGTAGGCCTCACAGTGGCCCATGTTAGCTTAGCAACGCTCCAGGGCGTGTGTCTCGCCTGTGGGGGTCGATTGGATGCCTCGACGTTGAGGCGGCGCACGTTGGCATCGATGAGCCGCATGCTAAAGTATGTTGTGGCGCGTTTAGGCACAAGAGCTTTAGACTGAACGGGATCCCAACCGATAGGAGGTGGGTCGTATCATGTTGGTCCTGATGAGGATGCTCCGATGTAGGAGGAGGAGGGATGGGAAGGGAATGAAGAGGACAAAGCGAAGGATATGGAACTTGGGCCTGGAGGGTGACAAGGGGAATGAGAGAGGGTTCTCGATCACATCTCTCGCAGAGCGCCGCCACTTGCAAGTCCACAAACAGGCGTATCAGAAACAGCCTTCCTAGGTCGTCAACAGGGGCTCTTGGAGCGGTGGTTGGCCATACTGAGTCGAAATCCCGTTGTCCCTATACCCGCGTACCCCGCCACCCACGTCGCCCTTCCCCTCATGCCACCCCCTCACTGTCATCCCCTCCCGCCCGCCAACGCACCTTGACCCCGCTACGTCCCTGCCATTGCTTTTATAACCCCCCCCCATCCACCCCCTGTGCAAGCACGAGCCAATGCACCGTTGTTGCCTATGATCTCAGACACCCTCGCAATGCCCACCGTGTCGACCCCCGTTGCTGTTTTTTGGCTCGAGCTGGTCGGACAGTCCAGTGGTTGAACACCACCCGTGCCTGAGCTCAGAGAGCTCAGTTGCCCCGACTTTGCAGGAGCAGAGCCCATGGCCAGGGGCAAGCAGTCGGCGCGTGCTAAGCAGCAGGCCTTGGCGCTGCCGCAAGGGAGGGCCGCGAGCGACGAGGCCAGTGATGGCTGTGAGAGCGTCGCCTCGGCGGCAACTGGAATGACGCCGCCGCCTCCGAAGGCTCCTGCTCAGATGAGGCCCCCGCCGAGGAGGAAGAAGGCACCCGCCAACTGCGTCGGCTGCGGCGTTTGCAACACTAGCCCCTGGGTCGAGTACATCAAGAAGGCGAACGGCGAGCAGGTGCCAGTTGGTCCTGGAGATGCCGAGTGCTACAAGACGTGGTTGGCTGGCTTCCAGACAGACGGCAGTTTCGAAGAAGTCTTGGAGAAGTGCCGCGCCGACAGCCAGTACAAGGAGTGCTTCCAGATGGCCGGCTCCATCAGGAAGGGGCTCACGAAGGCAGTGTACCGTCTCGCAGACATCGTGAAATCATCTTCGCAGGGCTACCGCGCATATCGGTGCAAAGTGGGGCTGAAGCCAGTCGAATTCGAGTCCATTTTCAATGGCACCATCGAGGACGCGGGCCTGAAGCTACAGGACCTCCCGAACGAGTTCGGTGTGATGTTCAAGGGTGCTCTCGTAAACGATCCCGACCGACCTGGCGCCAGATACGACGTGTTTCACGAGACCGCTTTGGAAAAGGTACTGTGTATCATGTCGAAGAGCGACCACCTCTGGTCTGGCCAGGAGGACAAGATCTTCGAGAGCGTCTTCAAGTCAGACTTGAATCCCGTGGGATCGGCGTTGCAGAAGTTGCGGGCCCAGTCGGTCGAGCCCAACGAGATCAGGCAGACGATCTTTGAGAAGAGCGACAAGACATCAAGCGGGCCCATCGGCGTTTCCTCGTCGGGCGGTCGTTCGGCCTCGGGGTCTGGTGGAGCTGCTGCCGCCGCCAGTGCTGCAGGAGGTCCCGAAGTAGATGCAGAGTTCGATGAGTTGATGGGCGACACTATCGTTGCAGCGGAGAGCGGGCCCATGCTGCACGATGCCACCCCCGTCGCGAAGACGACAGCAGGCAGGAGAAAATCGACCCCCAGCTGTGCAGCTTCGTCGGGGCTTGGTTTACGCAGGGGCGGTTCTACCATCTATGGAGATCTTGATGATGACGACGGCGCGCCAGATGGTAAGCGGCGCAAGTTCAGCACGACCGAGTGGATCCAGAAGCTCGACCTCATGAAGGCGCTGAGCGGGGCGGCGATGGCACGCAAGAAGACTTTCGCTCAGACGCACTACAACAATACCCCAGCCTCAGACACCAAGAAGAGCTTGCTGGCTGAGCAGATCTTGCTGGTGGGCTACGCGATCGACATCAGCGAGTGCGACGTGGCCAAGGTGGAGGACGATTTCATCACGACCCGCATTGCGGAACTCTTGAGGGCAACCCACGGCCAGCTGCCGACCAATTTGAAGCTTAAGTTGTTTCACCGTTACGTGTGCCGAGCTACTGCGAACATGGAGTTCAGAGACAAAGATGGCATCCAACGGTTTTTGAAGACCATCTTCCCCTTGAACATCAGCGGCTGTGACGACGAGGACAACTTCGACTGGAGGGTACCCAAGCTGTGGCAGTGCGAGGGGTCTCCTTCGGAACTCGCGAGCTACTTCACTGCGAGCCTCGAGAAGCTCATCGTGCCGCTGCTGGCGAAAAACTCGGAGTCCATCGACATCATCTTGAAGGCTTGCTCGTGGTGCTTGGAGGCCTACGCCGACGTCCTCTCTCAGGAGATGGACGACTCGTATGCCGAGGCGTTGCTGGACGCGTGTACTTGTTGGCGCGGTTGCCTTGGCCTTTTCAACGTGGCGGCTTCGACCACGCACGACAGGGCGATCAAGATGCTCATCGATAGGCCTCCCAAGGGAAAGGAGGACTCTCTGCCCTCGGTTGCACGGGCCACGATCTCAAGGGTGATGGAGTTCAAGCAGTACGTCGACGACTACACCGTCAAATGTGCCAGCACGCTGCTCACTGCGCCCAAGTTTCAGGAGGCCATGGCGTCGTTGCAGGAGGCCGCCACCATGTCGAGCACGACGGAGGCGGTCATGAAGTATCCCGAGTTCAAGGCGAACATGCGTCAGGGCATGGTCGACGGCATGGAGGCAGAGCTTTTGGGTCTCGTCCAGTTCTACGCCAATGACTTCAAAGAGTTCATGCGGCACGACGTGCCGACTGACCAGGCTGGACGTCACGCAGTTGTCAAGGTGTGCGATGAGGCGAATGCACTCTTTGAGGCGGTCGCGAAGCACATGGTGGAGCTTGTACCCGATGCCCCGCAGCTGGTGTCGTTCGCGAATGCTGCTCGGGCCAAGGTCACGTCGCCCCACCGCCTGGAGTGCTTCTTCACGCTGCTGGATGGCTACGCGAAGCCGCCCGATGGTGCAGCAGCCGCTGCCGCTGGCAACTTGCCATCTGCTGAGCACAGCAGGCGCCTGGCTGACGAGTGCAAGGGGCTGGCAACCCTCAGGGACGCCGTGAAGAACAACGGCTCGTACAAGCAGATCCTCGTGTCCGCCGCGGAGAGGACCGCCGAGGGTATCTCTCTGGTCGGCTCGGTCACCGCGCCTGGCTGCAAGGAGGCCTTGTCCGCGCTCGCATGCCTCTGCAACCTGGCGGCGGAGGACGAATCGATTCGCGACTCCGCGATGCTGGTGGACATCGGCCAGGCCGCGAGCACGCTGCACAGCACGATGTCCGAGTTCTCAGCCCTCGGTGACACCGTGATCGCCTCTGCCGACGCAGACGCCAACCAGGTGCTGGCCATGAAGATGATGTCGGAGTCGACGGCCTTGCGTGAGCTGCCTGGGATGCTGTCCCCCAACATGCGGTGCGACTTCGCGGTGGCTGTGGACGACGCAGCCAAACGCTTGCTGGCGAACGTCTCCGACGCGATCCTCGACAGGCGCAAAAGGTCAGTCTTTGACTTGATCGACCAGGTGTTCGCTGCCACGCGGACCGCGTACAAGAAGGATGGGAGTCTCTGGAAGGACGGCTTCAGCGGCTCGTGGGACGACCTGGTGGCGCTGGCCAACAGCACCATCATGAGCGTGGTTGACGGCGACGCGCTGACCAGGGTGGCGGATGCTCTCAGCGCCGATGTGGACGAGTTCTGCAAGGAGGTCCAGCGGTATGACCGCATGACCGACTACAAGGAGACGGTCCTTTCGGCGAAGTTGGTGAGCACCAGTGCGATGGTGATCGTGCAGGAGGCATCCATCTTCCTGTGTTTCAAGATGTTCGGGGAGCAGCCCGTCAAGCTGCGCAAGGGGCTCATCAAGGAGAAAAAGGAGCCCTATTTGAAAGCTCTTAGGAGGTGGCGTGGGAGGAGAGGAGGATGAATGCGGAAGGAGGGGGGAGGAGGGAGAAGGGATGGAGGGAGGAGGATGAGGAGGGGGAGGCAGGAGGGAGGGACGGAGGAGGATGAGTAAGGGAGGGGTGGGGAGGAACGAGGGACAAGTGATGGAGGAGGAGAGGAGGATGGACACCGAAGGAGGAAGGTGGAGACGTTGTCTGTGCATCTTTTTGGTGCCCTCTCGGGCCCATGAGGCCCCAATGGAGGGGGGCGAGAGGACCCCAGGGAGGCTCCAGGAGGGCACCAAGCTGACTCCAGGAGAGGCCAAAGGGGTTGTCACGAAGAGGGCCCTGTTCGTGACAACCCCTTTGGCGCCTCTTGGGGCCATCTTGAGGCCCTGTGGAGGACCTTTCGGAACACAATTGGGGCTCTGGGGCCCTCCGCACCCCTCTGTCCGTCCAACCGTATCCCCTGCCCTGCTTCATACATCCAGCCGTGACAGTACGGATGATCAGCCTCTGCCAGGGCATCCTTGCATCCTTGCCCTTTCGGTCCATCCGCGTTATGGCTCGCTGGTCAGCGCCTTAGGACACCCATGGGACGGGACGTCAACATGACGTTCGAAGGCCCTGGAATCCTTGCCGCACTCCTTTTCTATCCTGGGTGACGCTTGCGGAGTTCTCTGGTTCCGAGGCGTCGCCATTGGGGCCTCTTGGGCCGCTTTGGCGGCCTGGGGTGTTTCGTAGGATATGACGGTGGGCCTTTTCGGGTGCTTTTCGGGCCGCCATGGTGCTCCCTGGAATTTCGCCCTTTCTCCTCCCTCCCTCCCCCGCCGAAGCCCCGATGGGGCCCGAACGGTTCACCTTCTGGCGTCAGTTATTTAGCCCTTCCTCTTCTTCCTCCCTTTCCCCCCTCGCCACCTCCTCCTCCTCCTCCTCGTTCTCTTCCTCCTCATCCACCTCCCCCTTCTTCTCTTCCTCCTCCTCCTCCTCCTCCTCCCCCTCCTCCTGTCCCTCCTCGTCCTCCCCCTTAGCCTCAGGACATGGTCGCGAAGGGCCTCCTGGCGGCAGAGCCTGGGAAGCCAGGCATCCTCGAGATCATGGCGCGCGAGGTGGATGCCAAGATCGCGATGCAATGGCCGCGACTGGCGGCGACAGCTTGGATCGGTGTTTAGGCGCCTCCTCCGAGCTGCCACAAAAATCGTGAGATGTTTCTGTGCCTGTTGATGAGGCTGTGTCGGGTATTCACCCCCCAGTTGCTGAGGCCGTCGGGTATTCGATTCGCAGCCTTTCATCAACAAGGCCAGGCGGCCCCCTCCTTATGTCTCCCTGGCACGGGCGCGCCTGGTTTTAGAATGGCCGATTCGCGTGAGACATCCTCCCAAAGGCGAGGTGGCTAGCTAGGTGTACTCTTGTGCGATGTTCATGCAAGGTACGCTCTCGGTCAGTACTTTCTCGACAATTGAGTTGCAAGAGTAGTTAACAGCGTCGTCGCGAGTTTCACAAATGAGGCTCTCGCCAAAGGGATCCATTCCAGTTCTTCACGCCTCGCGCATTTCCACAATACACCCCGAAAGAGCCGCCAGGCGAGTTGCCTTGATGAGGCAGCTTGAGGGCCATCTTGGGCGCCTTAGAGGCGGATTGGGCAGAGAATGTGCACGCTTAGGGCCGCCGCGTGGGCTGTCCTGGGGCCAGCATGGAGCCCCTTTGAGCGTTTTTGAAGCCTTCTGGGGTACTTTCGGGGAGCCATGGAGAGCCTCTTGGGACCATCTTGGAGGCAATCGATCAAACGATGTGGGGCACTTGTGTTGCCCCCCGCTCAGGGGCCACGATCGCCGCGATGGGGTGTCAAACAACAACTTTGCCAATGAGCGGAAGAGGGCCCTCTGACCGCTCGCGGCCTCCCCCGTCCAGGTCCACGGGAGGGGGCAATTGGGACTGGGCGAACCCCTCCCCAAAGGGGAAGAACGAATCTCGTTAGACCAGTTGTCGCCCAGAGAGCTGGTGGTAATGGGCATCAGATTGGTTCTTGTGGCTGCACCGCATCGCAATGGTTTTGTGTTCACAGTCAATCCGAGTGGCGGTTTGTAGCCCGTTGGTCGGCGATGCTGCTGCCCCCGAATTTCATGGCGACCTGGTCACCTTGGTTCCCCCAGAGCGGTCGCGATCGCTCCTGCCCGCGGTTGGACCGCCGCGTGGGTCTAGCACGTTGTTCCGTCTGTGCTCCGCGCGTTCGTGCGGACCAGGGCCCATGCGATTGGCCTTTTTCAGGAAAGCTTTGAAAATCAGATATCGTGCTGCGGAACCTTCTTGGGGAAACCACATCGTCTCCGACGAATTTGGCGAACCTCCGCGCCATGTCGGCATAACCTCGGACGCAAACATTTTTTGAAATCCCTGGGGAAACTTTTCGGGGGAAAAAAAAAACCTTACTTCGGCGATTTCCATTGGGGGAGGCCTTTACCAGGCGATTTTTTTCTCAACGGACGTGTGCATGTTTCCTTCGGCGAGGACCATCGAGGCGCATCCTTGATCATTTGGCGAAAAAACCACGCACGAAACCGTAAAACGCACAGGGACTGGACGTCCGAGCGATGGCCAGCATTGTGTGCGGTGACTCGGTTGGGATTCGGGATCACCCGGTTCTGGGACTCCCAGTTCATCCAGGCCCCGTCCTGGGGCGCCCTCCACCTCGCTCACATCTCGTGTACGCTCCCATTACCGCGCTTCCCGGCCTCCCGGGGAGCCCCCACAATGCCCAAAGACAGCCCAAGACGACATCAAGAAGCTCCCACAACGTAAAAGACTTGCCCAAGACGCTCCCAAGCAACCCAGGATACCTTTCGGGCGGCTTCCCAGGCTCCCAGGAGGCCTCTAAAAGACCTCAAGAGAGCTCCGAGAGGCCTCCCGAGAGCGCCCGGCGAACCTAAAATCTTTCGCCGTTTCATGCTTCCGAAGCTCCATGACGGCCGAAGAGGCCCCCAAGACCGCCCAAGAGGCCCCCAAGACGGCCCCAAGACGGGCCAAGACGGCCCCAAGAGTGTCGAAGAGGCGCCCAGGACAGTTCCAGACCACCCCAGAACAGGCCCGAGAGGAGCCCAAGAGCGGGAGCAGGAGGCCGCCAGAGACCTCCGAGAGGATTCCGGGTCCCCCCAGAGGCCCCCAACACACCCCAGACCCTTGAGAGGCTCCCAAAAAATCCCCGACGAGGCCCCCCAAACAGCCCAAGAGAGCTTCGAGAGCCGTCCCGAGAGAGCCCGAAGAGGGTACAATCGTGGCTTTTCAGAGGTTTTTGTCGACGCTTTTCGCCTTTTCACTTTGTCCCGCTTCCAACGCTCCAAGACCGAGGAAGTCGAAAAAAGAGAATTCGACAGATTCCCTTTCTTTTCAAGTTGGGACTCCTACTGCCTATCCTCTTCTTCGGACCCCATCAAGACTCCGGGTTCGTATGCAAAAATGTTTCGGGAATGCTGTTGAGCTCTCTGACGCTGTCTTGGCACTCTCTTTGACCGTCTTCGTGTCCTCTTGGCTGCCCCTGAAACCATTGTAGAAATCGAGATCCCATGATCCCATGAGCTGAAGCAGAGGAATGTATCCATTTTTTCAAACTCACCCCCTGCTTATTTTTGCACGAAGACCCCTAGAGGCATCCCAACAGACCGTGGCCTGCATGCAGAAAACGTCTAACCCACAGCCCAGGCACTACAACTTGAGAAAATTATCCTGGCGAAGGACCCAACCATATGCAATTGTGATTAACGCTTTGTGGGTGCCGCTTTCGGTGGGGCTCCTTATTGGGCCACGAAAGACGTGCCACGAAACGCTGTCCTGGGCGTACGGGACGCATGAGGGCGGTGGCACTGGGGCCTTCGGTTGAGCCCCCTGTGGGGCCACGAAACGTGTGAGGGGTGTGCCGAAATGGGTGCGGCGCCGCCATGCCAACGCAGCCACTGGGGCCTTCGGTGGAGCTCCCTATGGGGCCACGAAACGTGTGAGGGGTGTGCCGAAATGGGCGCGGCGCCGCCATGCCAACGCAGCCACTGGGGCCTTCGGTGGAGCTCCCTATGGGGCCACGAAACGTGTGAGGGGTGTGCCGAAATGGGTGCGGCGCCGCCATGCGAACGCAGCCACTGGGGCCTTCGGTGGAGCTCCCTATGGGGCCACGAAACGTGTGAGGGGGGGGTGTGCCGAGATGGGTGCGGCGCCGCTATGCGAACGCAGCCGCTGGGGCCTTCGGTGGAGCTCCCTGTGGGGCCACGAAACGTGTGAGGGGTGTGCCGAAATGGGTGCGGCGCCGCATGCGGACGCAGCCACTGGGGCCTTCGGTGGAGCTCCCTATGGGGCCACGAAACGTGTGAGGGGTGTGCCGAAATGGGTGCGGCGCCGCCATGCGAACGCAGCCACTGGGGCCTTCGGTGGAGCTCCCTATGGGGCCACGAAGCGTGTGAGGGGTGTGCCGAAATGGGTGCGGCGCCGCCATGCGGACGCAGCCACTGCGGCCTTCGGTGGAGCTCCCTATGCGGCCACGAAACGTGTGAGGGGCGTGCCGAAATGGGTGCGGCGCCGCCATGCGGACGCAGCCACTGGGGCTTTCGGTGGAGCTCCCTATGGGGCCACGAAGCGTGTGAGGGGTGTGCCGAAATGGGTGCGGCGCCGCCATGCGGCATGCGGACGCAGCCACTGCGGCCTTCGGTGGAGCTCCCTGTGGGGCCACGAAACGTGTGAGGGGTGTGCCGAAATGGGTGCGGCGCCGCCGTGCGGACGCAGCCACTGGGGCCTTCGGTGGAGCTCCCTATGGGGCCACGAAACGTATGAGGGGTGTGCCGAAATGGGTGCGGCGCCGCCATGCGGACGCAGCCACTGGGGCCTTCGGTGGAGCTCCCTATGGGGCCACGAAACGTGTGAGGGGTGTGCCGAAATGGATGCGGCGCCGCCATGCGAACGCAGCCACTGGGGCCTTCGGTGGAGCTCCCTATGGGGCCACGAAACGTGTGAGGGGCGTGCCGTGATAGTGGGGGGAAGGAGGAGGGAGGGAGGGGGCAGCGGGAGGAAGGAAGGAAGGACGGAGTGAACGCGGGGCGTTGTCTCTTCAAAGCGAGGATCCAACACCACAGGATGGTTGGGAAAGAGGAAATCCCACCATTTCGTTTTTTCTAAGTTCGCCCCCTGTCTACTTTCGCACACCAGACTACAATGAAGGCCCCATTCAAAAACCCAGAAAGCCTTCGAGGGCCCCAAATCGTTGAATTCCGAATGGCAATTCATCTGTGTGAGTTTCCGCAGTTCCCGTTCTAAACGATTCCGAGGCTTGCGCAGAGCTTCCAAGAGAGTCCTTGAACGCAAACAACGACAAATATGATATTCCATGATAGCCCATGAACGCAAGGTACGACAACGATACATATATATATATATATATATATACATATATATATATATATATATATATATTATTATATATATATATACATACACACATATATATACATATATATATATATATACATATGTATCCGCATGCACCGCCCGCTGCGTCTCCAGGACGTCGGTTCCCGGGCGGCGGATATGGAGACGTCCCCGCCTCGCACAGTCGGAGGGGCCTTGAGTACCTTGAACGCGGCCCCCCTCTCCTCCCCCAAATGCCATCAAGTGGGAGGAGGTGCGACCGCGGAAGCGATTGCGAGGGAAGGTGAGTCTCGCCGCCCTCGCTCTCAGCCAAGCCCAGACTTCCCCAGGCTTGTATGCATGTTTTGAATTCTGTTTCGTCCGCACAGATGATTCCCCGTCTAGCCTCGCCAGGAAAAGTCCCCGCCTCGCACATGAGCCGCAAGGTCCCTGCCACCTTGCCAAGTGTTTCGCCTTCTTGGGTCTCCTGGGAGGCCCTCGTCGCCACCGCTGCTGGATCCACCTCGAAATTCTAGTCAGAACGCACCCCAGGAGAGAGCTGGGGAGTCGCGGTATCGGTACGTTTTGGATTCCCATAGACGCAGGAGGATTGCAGTGTAGTGCCGATGCCCCTAAGGGTAGGTGTAACACTGTACATGTCGGATGGGGCGCTTGGGCTCACCCATCCCTCTGTCGGTGTTGCTGAATGTTGGGACGTCCCACATTATGTTGAGTGGTACAACGTACTGTGCGACGCAATGGGAAAGAGTGTGTATGTACTTCACCGTCGCAAGCAATAAGAAGCGATCATGCGTACATTGAACTCGGGACTGCCAGTATTGCCGCCTGGCTGTGTCCCTGATGCTGTGGCCTCCAATATGGGAGGAACCGTTAATTAGCACGGATGAGATCACGAAATTATGAGCTACCGTGTTATGGTCGAAATTCTCTTGCGCAACAAGAGGTAGCCAGCGCACACAAGCTACAATTCTCCTCCACACAGACTGCGTGGCGAACATACACTTAACAGGGGACTGTCGGCATTGCCGTCTGGCTCTGTCCCGAAGGCCGAAGCCTGCAATGGGAGAGGAGTCAGTAGCGCAGATGAGCTCGCGAATGAAAATATCTACGGCGCTGTTGTCGAAATACGTTTACACAAGTCTCAACACACAAGTAGCGAACATACATAGCCTGAACTCGAGACTGCCAGCATTGCCGCTGGGCTGCACCCCGGAGTCCGAAGCCTGCAATTGGGGAGGAATCGCAAACACGGATGAGCTCACGAATGCACGAGCTATCTTGCTATGGTCAACATTCTGCTTCACTGGAAGTAGCAACACGCATATATATATATATATATATACACACACCCATATAACTGCTGCAACTTAACATACATAACCACCTGAGACGTAAACGCCTGATGTTTCAACCAGCCGCGACGAGAAACACAAGATTCTACATCTGCACGCCTGGGAAAAGGCTCACCCCCGCACAGCCGCATCAGGGCGCAGCGCCCCCGCGGAGGCCCCGGCGCTCCCTGCGCGGCGCCAGCGAGCCCACACGGCAACCAGCGGGACGGCTGGCCAGCGCCCCCGCCACGGTCTGCACCGCCTCCCCCCGCGCGCGGAACCGAACGGCCAGGGGCGCAGAGGACCGTGCCACCGCCCACCCAAAGGGCCCGCCACTATTTCTGAACTCCAGGGCCAGACAAAAAAAAACGACACGACGGACGTCCGGGCTGAAGAGACGTGGGTTTATGCAAACGGGGGTAAACCAGGGCGCTGGATCCTGCAGGATCCTGCAGAGCCAGGGTCGCATTGACCCGGGTTTTGGCGCAGGATCTTGCAGGATCTTGCAAGGCCTGATTGACCCAGGTCTGGATTGTCCCGGGTCAGAAGATCCCCGAGGACGACGACGGCGACGGCGACGACACGACGGAGATCGAGGAAGAAAAAGTGCCAGAAGCATAATTTGTTGGCGCTCCGCGCGGATTTATCGGATCCGCGTTGGGCCCCCCCGGCGGCGCCTCCAGCGCTACCTCTGGCGCGCTCCGCGCACCAGGAAGTGTGGTGTCCAGCGCAGATCCAAGAAATCCACGCGGAGCGCCCAGTATGATTTGTTTGCTATTCTTATGAATATTGTTATCATGTTTTTTTCGTATTATGATGATGCTTATCATTAGTATTATTCATATTCCTTATCTTCTTTTTATTATTCGTCTTCCTCTTTGTATCAGTATTATTATTCCTTCTAGGAGAGGAAGGACCACCCTGAACTGAATGACCTCCCGATCGGCGAAAAACTCCGGGGGGGGAGGCGGAGGGCTGCGCAGGAGACGCGACCACCCGGGTGTGGGCATCCCGCCTCGGGTGAGGTCGGGCACGTCCTCCTGCAGGCGCTGGGCATCGCTCGGACGTGTGCATTTTTCTTTCGGCGAGGACCATCGAGGAACATCCTTGATTATTTGGCGAAGAAGCCACGCACGAAACCGAAAAAAAACACAGGAAATGGACATCCTAGCGATGGCCAGGGCGGGGTTGGGAGGGAACATCGCACATGCTCAGAACACATGCAGACATAGCCCAAACATCGTAGAGACATCGCCCCCGGATTATTTCTGGACTAGTCTGGAACATGCCTCCTGTAGCCTTCTGTCGGGCGTGTCCCCCTACAGGGGGAGTTTCGAGAAGATACCCCAAACACATGTCCCAAGAAGGTCCAAACATATTCAAAACATCGTCCCCAGGGTAATTTGTGGATTATTATTTTTGTTATGTTTTAGGGGATGTTTCATTTTCGTCGACAATCCCCCTGTAGGAGGGCAGGCCCGACTTAACTGTAGCCTCGGGGGGAGGCGCCTCGGGGGCCCTCCCGCGTGCGGGGGCGGCGGAGCCCCGACGCCGCCCCGCGGGGGCGCCCCCCGCGCCTGGCAGTGCCTTTGGGGGGTGCGCTCTGGCCCGGCGGGCCCCGCCTGAGGGGAGGGGGGCCCTCCAGGGCACGAGGAGGGAGGGAGGAGGAGGATGAGGATGAGGATGAGGATGAGGATGAGGATGAGGATGAGGATGATGATGATGATGATGATGATGAGAGGAGGAGGAGGAGGAGGAGGAGGAGGAGGAGGAGGAGGAGGAGGAGGAGGAGGAGGGTAGGAGGAGGAAGCGAAGGAGGAGGAGGAGGAAGCGGAGGAGGAGGAGGTAGGAGGAGGAAGCGGAGGAGGAGGAGGAGGAGGAAGTGGAGGAGGAGGAGGAGGAGGAGGGGAGGAGGAGGAGGAGGAGGAGGTAGGAGGAGGCGGGAAAGGGTGGACGAGGAGGAGCTGGAGGATCAGGCTGGAGCAGGGAGGAGGAGGAGGAGGAGGAGGAGGAGGAGGAGGAGGAGGAGGAGGAGGAGGAGGTAGGAGGAGGAGGTAGGAGGAGGAAGCGGAGGAGGAGGAGGAGGAGGAGGAGGAGGGAGGAGGAGGAGGAGGAGGAGGAGGAGGAGGAGGTAGGAGAGGCGGGAAAGGGAGGGAGGACGAGGAGGAGCTGGAGGATCAGGCTGGAGCAGGGAGGAGGAGGAGGAGGAGGAGGAGGAGGAGGAGGAGGAGGAGGTAGGAGGTAGGAGGTAGGAGGAGGAGCAGGGAGGATGAGGAGGAGGAGGAGGAGGGAGGAGGAGGAGGAGGAGGAGACCGCCGCAGGTCGCCCTCTTCCAGTGCACCACGGTGGCCATTGCGGTGCTGGACCTGGCGGGGCTGAAGCGCCACGAGATCGTCGCCGTGCAGGTGGGGCGCCGCCGCCGGCCCCGTCGGGCGGGGGCGGTGTTGCAGGCCTCCCCTCTCAAGCAGTGGCGAAGCGTCCTGGCTCGCCTATAGCCCCACCAAACAATGTTCTAAGAACCTGTTGTGGCTCCCACGAAATTGTCCTAGAACATTTCTGGCTGGGACTGTCTTGCTTTAACACATCGGGTTTATGTTCTAAGAACATTCGTTTTGTTTTTTCCAACATTTTTGGGGTCTAGGAACATTTCGCGGTATGACTATAGGAATGCCGGGACGGTCGGTCCCTGCTCAACCCCTCGGCCATACACGTTCGATCCCTACGGTAGGTGTATGTCGGGCGTGTCCCTCCTGCAGGGGGATTTCCGACGAACAATAGAAATTATCCCGGCAAAGCAACCTAGCAGCGATGTGTAGAAGCATATCTGGGAGCATTCCCCTTGAGATTCATGTAGGAGTCCTGTTATAGAATTCTGATACAGTCGCTGTCGCATTCGCAATGGCAACGGCAGTCGCAGGTACAGTCGCAGTGGCAATCCCAGTAGTTGCAGTGGCAATAGCTACAGTAGCAGCAGCAACAGCAGCAGCAAATGCAATAGCAGGAACAACAGTAATAGTAACAGTAGTAGTAGTAGTAGTAGTAGTAGTAGTAGTAGTAGTAGTAGTAGTAGTAGTAGTAGTAGTAGTAGTAGTAGTAGTAGTAGTAGTAGTAGTAGTAGTAGTAGTAGTAGTAGTAGTAGTAGTAGTAGTAGTAGTAGTAGTAGTAGTAGTAGTAGTAGTAGTCGTAGTAGTAGTAGTAGTAGTAGTAGTAGTAGTAGTAGTAGTAGTAGTAGTAGTAGTAGTAGTAGTAGTAGTAGTGTTATTATTATTAGTATTATTATTATTATTATTAGTAGTAGTAGTAGTAGCAGCAGAAGTAGTAGTGATGGTAGTAGTGGTAGTAGTGGAAGTAGGAGTTGTAGTGGTTGTAGTGAACGAGTACGATTAATGGGAGCAATCGTAGTAGCAGTAGAAACACTAGTAGCAGGAGTAGTACAACGGAGACACTGCTATCAATTAGCTCATCTCCGAACGAGACAGTGCTATCAATAGATGTAGGTACCAACGAGACCATGCTATGAATGGGTGTAGCCCCAAACGAGACACTGCTATCAATGGACTTAGTTTCGAACGACTCACTGCTTTCGATAAGTGTATCTCGAAACGAGACGATTCTATCAATGGATGTAGGTCCAAACGAGACACTGCCATCAATGGATCTGCACGCTCTTTTTTCATCTGTATTTTCACCGTTCTGCACGCTCTCCCTAAGGCGCTTCTCGCGGCGGGGGGGGCGCTCCAGAATCCAGAGAGGAGGATCGAGGAGGAGGACCGACGAGGATGATCGAAGAGGGGTCGAGAGCTCCCTTTGCCAGGGCGCCCCCCCCGTGACCGCTTCTCGCGGCGGGGGGGGCACCCCAGAACCTTGAGGAGGATGTCAGAATGCGCCCTGGCCAGGGCGCCTCCCCCGCGACCGCTTCTCGCGGCGGGGGGAGCGCCTCAGAGACTTGAGGAGGTGGTCAGAACGCGCCCTGGCCGGAGCGCCCCCCCGTGACCGCTTCTCGCGGCGGGGGGGCGCTCCAGAATCCAGAGAGGCGAGGACGGAGACGAGGCGAGGACGGAAGCGAGGCGACGACGGCGGCGACGGCTGCGACGGCGACGACAAAATACTACATATAAGGACTTACAGATGTATAAAATACTACATATAAGCACATACAGAGGTATTAATATTAACACGTCCTGGATTCCCGCAACTGGGCCTCCAGAGTCCAGACGCCATGAAGGCGAATCTTGAAACGTCCTGGATCCCCGCAACTGGGCCTCCAGAGGCCGGAACCGCTGAGAAAAACTTGGCGTATCCTTCCTCAAACCACTCCTCCAACCACTCCTCGTCGTCCTCCTCCTCCTCCTCTTCTTCCCTCTGAGCACACCATGGCGCTCGACAGGAGGCATCTCTCCTCCTCACTGCTCATGGGCTTTCAGTTGCAACAGCCTGCCTCAGCCTCTGCCTCAGCCTGCCTCAGCCTCAGCCTCAGCCTCAGCCTCAGCCTCACTTGAGTTCCCCCATATCAGGCGTGGACCCGCGGCACCCCCGACTGACTTCCCCCATATCAGGCGTGCACCCGCGGCCCCCCCGACTGAGTTCCCCCATATCAGGCAAGAACCCGCGGCACCCGTCAGCTGAGTTCCCCCATATCAGGCGTGGACCCGCGGCACCCCCGACTGAGTTCCCCCATATCAGGCGGGCACCCGCGGCACCCCCGACTGAGTTCGCCCATATCAGGCGCGGATCCCGGGATTCCCGCGGGGATCCCCGGATTCCCGCGGCACCCGTCCGGCATTGGCCTAGACCCCCCTGAGGAGTCATGATGCTCTCTTTTGAGACCACTAGGAGCCTATCAGTCTTCGCTGTTAGGTAAATACCCCACAAATGCCCCACAAAGGTCAAACAAATACTCAAAACATAGTCCCCTGATTATTTTTGGATGATTGTTTGACTAGTTTTGGGGTATGTTTTATTTTTCGTCGAAAATCCCCCTGTAGGGGGACAGGCCCGACTTATCCTACGGCAGGTTCGCGTCGTCTCGTCCAGCGGCGACCCCGTCGCGGACGTTCAAGGTTGAACGCCGCCAGTGGCCCAGAATCGTCCTACGTGGAACGATCGGGCGATCGAAAAGCCGCCGATCGCTCAAGGTGGAACGATCCACGAAGTGTCAGAAGCCAACGCCGGGGTCGACACGACACGAACCTGCCGTACCCTTCTCTGGTTCCTCGTGGGCTCAGCGCGTGAGCAGGGGCGTGGATGAGATTCGCAGAAGAAAAAGGCCATAAACATGAACTTTTGGCGCTCCGCGCGGATTTCTCGGATCCGCGGCGGGCCGAGGCATTTGCGGCGTTTTTTCTTCTTCTAGAACTGTCCAGCGCGTACCCCAACTCCTCACCCCCCTCGGGTCGCGACAAGCAAATCGCGACGGGAGATGTTCTGTCCTCTTCGGCCTCGGGGGTGCCCTGTCCGGCTCCAGGACGGGCAGCACAAGCGGCTCGGAAGGAAAGGCCTGCCCCGGGGGAGGCCGCAGCCACTTGTGAGAGCCCCGAATCATCAGGGGTAACTCGGGTCAGGGCTAACTCGGGTTCCTTTCTCGGGAATCCAAGCCCTAGTTACCCCGGACCCGAGTTATCCCGGATAACTCGGGCGTCCAGAGCCCCGAATCATCAGGGGTAACTCGGGTCAGGGCTAACTCGGGTTCCTTTTTCGGGAATCCAAACCCGAGTTACCCCGGGCCCGGAATAACTCGGGCGTCCAGAGCCCCGAATCATCAGGGGTAACTCGGGTCAGGGCTAACTCGGGTTCCTTTCTCGGGAATCCAAACCCGAGTTACCCCGGACCCGAGTTACCCCGGATAACTGAACTCGGGCGTCCAGAGCCCCGAATCATCAGGGGTAACTCGGGTCGGGGTAACTGGGTTCGCTTTTCGGGGACCCGAACCCGAGTTATCCCGGACCCGAGTTGCCCCGGATATTTCGGGCGTCCAGAGCCCCGAATCATCAGGGGTAACTCGGGTCGGGGCTATCTCGGGTCCGTTTTTCGGGTCTCGGGAATCCAAACACGAGGTACCCCGGACCCGAGTTACCCCGGATATTTCGGGCGTCCAGAGCCCCGAATCATCAGGGTAACTCGGGTCAGGGCTAACTCGGGTTCGTTTTTCGGGAATCCGAACCCGAGTCACCCCGGACCCGAGTTACCCCGGATAATTCGGGCGTCCAGAGCCCCGAATCATCAGGGGTAACTCGGGTCAGGGCTAACTCGGGTTCGTTTTTTCGGGATTCCGAACCCGAATCACCCCGGACCCGAGTTACCCCGGATAATTCGGGCGTCCAGAGCCCCGAATCATCAGGGGTAACTCGGGTCAGGGCTAACTCGGGTTCGTTTTTCGGGATTCCGAACCCGAGTCACCCCGGACCCGAGTTACCCCGGATAATTCGGGCGTCCAGAGCCCCAAATCATCAGGGGTAACTCGGGTCAGGCTAACTCGGTTCCTTCTCGGAATCCAACCCAGTGTACCCCGACCGAGTTATCCCGGATATAACTCGGTCGTCCAGGAGCCCCCGAATCATCATTGGTAACTGGGTCAGGCTAACTCGGGTTCCTTTCTCGGGAATCCAAGCCCGAGTTACCCCGGACCCGAGTTATCCCGGATAACTCGGGCGTCCAGAGCCCCGAATCATCAGGGGTAATTCGGGTCAGGGCTAACTCGGGTTCCTTTCTCGGGAATCCAAGCCCGAGTTACCCCGGACCCGAGTTATCCCGGATAAGTCGGGCGTCCAGAGCCCCGAATCATCAGGGGTAACTCGGGTCAGGGCTAACGCGGGTTCCTTTCTCGGGAATCCAAACCCGAGTTACCCCGGACCCGAGTTATCCCGGATAAGTCGGGTCGTCCAGAGCCCCGACTCATCAGGGGTAACTCGGGTCAGGGCTAACTCGGGTTCGTTTTTCGGGAATCCAAACCCGAGTTACCCCGGACCCGAGTTACCCCGGATAACTCGGGCGTCCAGAGCCCCGAGTCATCAGGGGTAACTCGGGTCAGGGCTAACTCGGGTTCGTTTTTCGGGAATCCAAACCCGAGTTACCCCGGACCCGAGTTATCCCGGATAACTCGGGCGTCCAGAGCCCCGAATCATCAGGGGTAACTCGGGTCAGGGCTAACTCGGGTTCCTTTCTCGGGAATCCAAACCCGAGTTACCCCGGACCCGAGTTACCCCGGATAATTCGGCGGTCCAGAGCCCCGAATCATCAGGGGTCACTCGGGTCGGGCTAACTCGGGTTCCTTTCTCGGGATCCAAA